GAAGAGCNCAAGTGAAATTGATACATTACTTGTGCATCTCCACCAGTTAAAGATACCACCCCTGGATGGAGGAAGAGTACTTCCAGAGAAGATGCCACATCTACCTATGAGACAGATAAGGCAAGTCAAGACGACACCACACTCCGATACTTAGAAGTTTCGTGATTACGAGATCATTCTCCCACAATATTTCCTAATGTCATTTGTACTAAATCATTCACTCGTACTCACTAAAGGAGAGCTTGAACCTATGTACTTGTGTAAACCCTTCACAATTAATGAGAACTCTTCTATTCCGTGGACGTAGCCAATCTGGGTGAACCACGTACATCTTGTGTTTGCTTTCCTATCTCTATCCATTTATATACTTATCCACACTAATGACCGGAGCAATCTAGCGAAGATCACAAAAAGCGACCGTTTTCGTTACCTAGGATCTATCTTGCAAGAGAACGGAGAATTAGATGGAGATCTCAACCATAGAATACGAGCTGGATGGAAAGAGTGCATCCGGCGTGTTGTGTGACCGTCGTAGGCCACTGAAGCTCAAGGAAAAATTTTATAGGACGGCAATAAGGCCAGCGATGTTGTATGGCAGAGAATGTTGGGTGGTGAAGCATCAACACGTACACAAAATGGGTGTAGCGGAGATGAGGATGCTTCGTGGGATGTGTGGGCACACGAGAAAGGATAAGATTGGGAATGAGGATATCCGAGGTAAAGTAGGAGTAGCCGAAATTGTAGGAAAGATGAGAGAAAATCGGCTCTGGTGATTTGGACATGTGCAAAGAAGGCCGACTGACGCTCCGGTTTGAAGATGTGACTACGGGACAGAGGTTCAGGGCCGAAGGGGTAGAGGAAGACCTAGGAAAACTTTGGAAAAGACTCTAAGAAAAGACTTAGAGTACTTGGATCTAACGGAGGGCATGACACAAAACCGAGCGCAATGGCGTTCTAGGATTCATATAGCCGACCCCACTTAGTGGGAAAAGGCTTTGTTGTTGTTGTTGGTGATTTAGTTGAAATCGGAGTTTCAGAGGACTTCTGTTTGGGTGGGATTCTTCCTTTTTTGCCCTCACTTATTTGTGTGTTATTACAACCTTGCCCTTTTTGCTTTGCTGTGAAATGCTTAACACTAATTAGCGACGCGTGGAAGTTTTTTTCCCTAACCGTTTTCCTCCCCCACCGCATAAATCTTCTTCCTTTGCCAATCCATGAACCACAATTTTCCTTTTGTGTTTCCTCAATTATTTCTTCACCAGCAACCTTGCGGCAACTTCCTTGCTAATTTGAGCTGCTCGACCATGACATGAACGCATCCTCCACACGTTTGACTCCCTGTACGTCAGTCTTTGTCGTTGTCATGTCTCTCGCGACCTCATGATCAAGTACCCAAGGTATTTATTTAACTCTGAATCTCCCTTGCGAATTGTTTACACGTTTCCATATGGGTTTTTTTAAATACAGCAAATTTTATCATTCTTAAGATTTAATTGATGTTATTGTATAGTCTAATTATTTTCCTAATATGATTGAATTGTAATTAGTTGTATGTATATCCAAAACAAATGAAAGTATTCAAAACTCTGAATTTGTAGTTCTTAAAGTCGTATGATCCTGGGTTGTGGTTTTTAGGCTTTTGCTTGCAGCCTCCATTTTCAGAAGAGGAGCTGGACCCTCCAGACCCAAATTCCTCAACTTTTCAAAGCATTTTTTGTTATCCTTTTTTTTTCTGGGTTGTTTTATTTTTTGCTTTTTGGATATGAAAGCTACTTCATTTGATTGGTGTTTCTTTGCTTTGTGTGTTTTACCCTGAAGGAATCTAATTATGGGTTTTGTTAGTCTGAATAATTTGTGCAGACCAAGTGTTTGTTCTTCTGCTTTCTGTTTGGTATAGCTTCCCAACACTGGAAGAAGGTGAATTCTACTGGAAATTGGACAACTTTGTGGGATTTCAAGGTGTTTCTGACAGGTGAATATTTTGAAGGTAATATTTTGAGTGGTTTAGGAATTCAGTTATGTTTAATAGTTCCAATCCTCCTTCATTGGGTGAGTTCCTTTTTTCAGTTTGGAAGGTAATATTTTAATGATAGAAAGAAGACTATGGTTTAGATTATTTGTATTCCTACTCTTTACTAGACTGGTTTAGATTAAGCTCTTCTTCTGGTCGCTACTTGACTGAAAAAATAATTATTTACAATTTTATGGTGAACAAAATATGTTGCTTGAATTTAGTGAAAGCAATTACCTTGCATATGTATTGATAAGTATTCTAAGATATAAACATTAGATATTCTGGTGATCATAGAAAAATGGATGTTCGAGTGATCATGGAACTCTGTTAGTAGCTATTGATATCATAATAATTTAGGATATGAGCGTTAAATTAGCTTAAACTGCAGAATGTGGCTTTGACATTGTTATATGGAATTTCCACTACGAAGAAATGGCATTGAACACATGTAATTGACTGAATGCCAAAATTCTTCTTTAGGCACCAAATTGGATTACAAAACAGAATCTCACTTTGATGTTTTATTTTCATTCAGTCAACAGGGGAACTGTAATTTCAATGGATATCATTTTGGATGCTCTTCTATATATTTTAATTGTCCTTTTAATCTAGATCTTGAAATGCGTTATTTCATGTGATGGTATTATTTTCTTTTGTTCAAATTTAGATGTCTGCATTTATAAATAATGTATACCACAGTCTCATTTTAAAGGGGGTTCAAGAAAATCAAACAAGCAGTACCCCAGACGACTGACATCTAATGCCATGTAAATTTGCTTGCAGTTTTGTAGCAGAATGAAGATAGATCCAATCCGAAATTTAGGACCTTTTCAATTTAATAAGAAGATCACAGTACGTGTATGCAGAATTTGGAGACCTAAGGTTATAGGAAAGGACAATACGTTTGGCGGTCTTCAATGTATATTGGTTGATGAAATGGTAAGAATTTTGTTTTTAATTTTGATAATACCATGATCCATGCATTTATCAATAATGATGACCTAAATTTGGCAGAAAGATGCAATTTTTGAATTCTCCTATAAATAAATAAGAAAATTATTTTATCAGATTATATTTTTTGACTTTAAAAGATGTACTATTCATATTTATCTACCTAATTTTGTTAAATTAATTTTAATCATCTAGAAAGATGCAATTGAAGCCTCTGCAAAAGAAATAGATTATGAGTATGTTGCTCCAAAAATTAAAGCTAATCATGTTTATGAGATCACTCGCTTTTCTACCAGTCGTTGTAAATCGTCCTACAAAATTGTCCCCCATGATGCGCAAGTGTGCTTCAATACAAAAACAATTTTTGAAGAGTTGCCAGGTGTTCATCCAAACATTCCCTCACAGCGGTTTTACTTACTTGATTATTCTCAAATGTTTTCTCGCATCAATCAAGATGATATTCTCACACGTAATTGTACATATATAAAAAATGAAAAAATTTAACATCAGTTTAGTATCATTTTGTCAATATCTTTTGAAGCATCTTGAGATCTAACTACAATCTTTGGACAAATTTTGAGATGTTCTGGGATGCATCACTACAGTAAAGCCTTTGGAGGACAGAATGATCGGTAATGAGAGAATGGAGAAAACACGCGAAGTGAAGTTGCAAAATATCAGGTCAACAATATATGGAGACATTTGAATTTCTCAAAATTGCTGCACATTTTATTCAAAATACTAATGTTTTTCTTAATATCCGTTCACTTAGGAGAGAAGATGTTAACCTGACATTGTGGGGTAACACTGTAAAGACCTTTGATTTCGAAGCTCTGGAACACTTGACACCACCAGTTTTGGGTGTTTTTACAAGCCTTAACGTTAGACGATTCAGAGGTATAAAAATTTTCAGATCTATTTTCAATTGTTCATATTTATTGTATAGAATAATGATTTAATTCCTCATCTATAAACAATTAGAAAACATTGTGCTGAACAACAGTATTTCCACAATGATTTTCATCAATCCAGACATTCTCGAAGCAACTCCTTACAAAGCAATGTCAGTTTCTAAACTCCAAATAATTTAAAATTTTTTTTTTCATGTTGAAATTCAATATGAGGGAAAAAATATGGATATACCTGTTTACTATTGATATGCATATAAATATGAAACTGTTAATTCAAGTAAACACATCTAGAAATACAATGTTTATATATTTCTTTTAGTTTACATGTTTCTATAATTAAAAGGCTATGATCTAGCTTTCTTCAGTGTTAGTTTGATCAAATAATTGGCTAGAACTACCTGAAATTGTACATTGCAAACTAGCAGACCTTTTTTCTTAGTATGGTCAACTTATGCAAGCTATGTACAAACTTGGAAAGGTTTGTCAAGTTGACTACAATTGTTTAAAAAAAAATGATGTATACTACTCATTGTTGTTGCTGTATAGTAGATGAAGCGGAATTTGTTTCCCTTTAGGGTCAAAATATTTTGGTTTGTTAAAATTCATGACCTATTTTTTTTGCCTTATTCATAAAAAAATTCTCTCATAAGAATGTGTTTATTTTAGTCTACCATAACAACATCTACATATACATTTGGACAAACTTTTGAGAGCCCACACTTTAGAAACACAAGCCATGTTTGTATATGCATTACATAGTGATACAATAGATCTATAGAAGTATGAAAATTATTCTTTCAATTTTCTTATGGTATAATATTTGAATTTTTTTTTCAATTGATAAATTCTTAATGAACATGTTAGTATCCCTTTATGGTTTAGATTCTTATTCTCTTTAATTTGAATACAAAAATATATGCAACTTTGTTGGTTCGACTCATTCTGTAAAAATGTTGCCAACGTCAGCAAGACAACTAATGGGATCAAAACAATTGGAAAACGCTGAAAAACTGTCTGTTCAGGATCTGAATGTTTTGGATCCAGATTTGTACAAGGTAAACAAACTTTTCTCAATGTTTTAGAAATCAGACATGTGTAGCTGCTGTGATACTAACACACATCGTTTATTGTTGTTAAATATATTATATTCCTCATATGGTATATAACGACTTAGTGAAGTACAAATCATTCTTAGATTTTAAACTTTGAACATAAAAAAAACATAATTGAAAGGAAAAATATAATTTAGATTTGGTTTCTCTTTTCTGCAACATGAACCGTATGTTTCACATATACATACTTTTGATATATTATGTTCCGTCATTACATTATCTATATATTAATTAATGTCTATACACATATTTCAGAACACTTCAGTCTTATGTAGAGCAGCCATTACACGTTTTGACACGCATGTTGGATGGTGGTACAAAGCATGTCCATGCTGCTACAAACAACTGAGAAAATATGAAAATAACAACGTACTAATTTGTGTAAAGCACAATGTTCAAACTCCCCTACCCTGGTAAGCCAAATGTTTATTACTAATTTCACAAGCTTTATACTTAAACATTGTTCTTCATGTACTTAGGTTCAAAGTAAGTTTAATACTCGAAGACGCCAGCGATGAGACTAGTGTTATCATCATTGGTAAATCGGCTGAACGTTTATTTGGAACTTCATATTATGATTTAGTTGTCAAAAAAAGGTTTACTGATCAACAAGAGTTGCCATATGCAATTCTCCAATGTCAATGACAACAACAACAACAACAACAACAATAAAGCCTTTTCCCACTAAGTGGGGTCGGCTATATGAATCCTAGAACGCCATTGCGCTCGGTTTTGTGTCATGTCCTCCGTCAGATCCAAGTACTCTAAGTCTTTTCTTAGGGTCTCTTCCAAAGTTTTCCTAGGTCTTCCTCTACCCCTTCGGCCCTGAACCTCTGTCCCGTAGTCACATCTTCGAACCGGAGCGTCAGTAGGCCTTCTTTGCACATGTCCAAACCACCGTAACCGAGTTTCTCTCCTCTTTCCTTCAATTTCGGCTACTCCTACTTTACCTCGGATATCCTCATTCCTAATCTTATCCTTTCTCGTGTGCCTACACATCCAACGAAGCATCCTCATCTCCGCTACACCCATTTTGTGTACGTGTTGATGCTTCACCGCCCAACATTCTGTGCCATACAGCATCGCCGGCCTTATTGCCGTCCTATAAAATTTTTCCTTGAGCTTCAGTGGCCTACGACGGTCACACAACACGCCGGATGCACTCTTCCACTTCATCCATCCAGCTTGTATTCTATGGGTGAGATCTCCATCAAATTCTCCGTTCTTTTGCAAGATAGATCCTAGGTAGCGAAAACTGTCGCTCTTTGGTATTTCCTTATCTCCGATCCTCACCCCTAACTCATTTTGGCCTCCGTTTGCACTGAACTTGCACTCCATATATTCTGTCTTTGATCGGCTTAGGCGAAGACCTTTAGATTCCAACACTTCTCTCCAAAGGTTAAGCTTCGCGTTTACCCCTTCCTGCATTTCATCTATCAACACTATATCGTTTGCGAAAAGCATACACCAAAGAATATCATCTTAAATATTAAGTTTGTGATATTCGCTAGATTGCTTCGGTCATTAGTGTTGATAAGTATGTAAATGGATAGAGACAGGAAAGCAAAACAAAGATGTACGTGGTTCACCCAGATTGGCTACGTCCACGGAGTAAAGGAGTTCTCATTAATTGTGAAGGGTTTACACAGTACATAGGTTCAAGCTCTCTTTTAGTGAGTACAAGTGAATGATTTAGTACAAATGACATTAGGAAATATTGTGGGAGAATGATCTCGTAATCACGAAACTTTTAAGTACCGAAGTGTGGTATCGTCTTCACTTGCCTTATCTGTCTCATAGGTAGATGTGGCATCTTCTCTGGAAGTACTCTTCCTCCATCCAGGGGTGGTATCTTTAACTGGTGGAGATGCACAAGGTAATGTATCAATTTCACTTGAAGCTTACTTGTAGTTTCAGGCTTGGTCAAGCGCGATACAAACCATGTAGTAGGAGTCCCCCAAGTCGCCGAGCTAGGGATCTGCTGAAAGAGGTGACAGACAAGGTAAGCAATCAGAGCTCCAAGCAATCAGTCCCAGATCAGAAGTTTGATTTCGAGTTCCGGCTGATTGTTATCCTTCTCCTTATCTTGCAGGCAGCATGAAGGATAAAGAGAAGAAAAAAGGAGAAAATGATGATATGAGATACTTTTGCTTTTGAAGAAGTAACTTTCCACAGGCTTATTCTTGAACTGGGCTGGAGGGTTTTCTGGTTTCCTCCAGAGTATAAGGCCGACTGAAGAATTTGAGGGTCAAAACAAGTCCATCAAATCTAGAGTACGTTCGACCCTGCTGATATGGGATACTTTTGCTTGTTGACAAAGTAGTGGATGTATCGGCACGTGTTCTGTTACGCTTGTCTCCACATGCTTCCTTGTATCCTTCTCACTTGCCCTATTTGTTCCTCAGGCAGATGTGGTATCTTCTCGGGGAGCATAAGATGTTGAAGATGAGTACTCGAGAGTAATGCCAGGTAAGTAATCAGGTAAGGGGTTCCAGGCAGTCAGTTCGAACTGGAAGCTTGATTCCAAGTGCTGACTGATTGCTCTCTTTCTCCTTGTCTTGCAGGTAAGAACAAGGCCAAAGGAAAAGACAGGGAAAAAGCATGATATGGGATACTCTTGCTTTTAACCCTGATGATATGAGATATTCTTGCTCTAGTGTAGCTTGTTTGCAGAGGTATTATCGGGGGGAAAGAAAGCTGAGTATTTCGAGAGGCTTCGTTGGGAGTGCCCTCTCAGATATGAGGAAGGGTTGAGCATTTTTGCAGGTCTGCCTGTCCGTTGAGGATGGAGGTCGACATATATAGGAGTCTCCCTAACAACAAGTAGTAATGCTATTCCTTTACCCTGCTTGGTCATAGCACGGTAGTGGGAGCTGCCAGCTTCACGTGTTTTAACTCTGTCAGAGCACTTTGAAAAAGTGGTCTGTGGTATCTGGAAAGCTGATGTTACGTGTGAAGATTACAGACAAGCTTTATCCAAGGAGATCTGGCTCTCGAAGTTGAGAAAGCGGTGTGAGGATTACAGACAAGCTTTATCTAAGGGGCTCTCGAAGTTGAGAAAGCGGTGCCTCTTCGGTTTTCGAACAAGCAATCCTGTCGGGGATCTGTCTCTCGAGATTCGAAGAACGGTGCCTTTTCGATTTTTGAGAAAGCAATCCTGCTAGGAGTCTGGCTCTCGAGATTCGGAGAGCGGTGTCTCGTCTCTTTTTGAGAAAGTAATCATGTTGGGAGTCTGGCTCTCGAGATTCGGAGGACGGTGCCTCTTCGATTTTGAAGCAAGCAATCTTGTTGGGAGTGTTTTCTCGAATGTGAGTAAAGGTTGGGCATGTTTGCTAGTCTACCTTGCCACGGAGCACAGAGGTTGACACACAGGGACTTTCCAATTATCCAGCAGTGGTCCTGTTCCTTTACCCTTGTGGGTAATAATATGGTAGCTAGACCTTCAAAATTTATGTGTCTAAACTTTGTTAGTGCTGTTTCTTTGTTATTATTTTTACCCTTCTTGGTCATAGCGATGTAATGGGAGCTGCAAGCTTCACGTGTCTAAACTTTGTCAGAGATTTTTGGCAAAGTTATCTGTGGTACCCATGAGCTAATGTTGCGTGTGGAAAGTGGATGATTGAACAGTAAGATTCACGTGCTTTCTACTTCACCAGAAATCTTCGACAGAATGCCCGTAATTTCCGCAAAGCTGAGTGTGCATGTGACAGGTGCTGACAAGGCTGAAAAAGCAGGTGCCTCTTCGATTTCTGAGATCGGCCCTCGTGGTCTCTGAGCAGCCCAGCTTTTGAGAAAGCAAGCGCCTCTTCGATTTCTGAGATCGACCTTCGTGGTCTTTGAGCAGCCCAGCTTTTGAGAAAGCAAACGCCTCTTCGATTTCTGAGATCGGCCCTCGTGGTCTCTGAGCAGCCCAGCTTTTGAGAAAGCAAACGCCTTTTCGATTTCTGAGCAGGCGCCTCTTCGATTTTTGAAGCTCCATCGAGTGCAGATTTTTATAGAGACTGGCATTAAGTTCCAAAGCACACTTGAATCTCCACCAGTAGAAGCTCCCTTCTTGCATTTCTTCTAAGATCTTGATTTGTCCGACCTCTTTCTCTCTTCAACACCTTTGAAAATGTCTGGCCCCTCCGACCGTCGTTTTGACTTGAACCTTGTTGAAGAGAGGCAGCCACGCCTTCTCCAGACAACATATGGCGCCCATCCTTCTTATCCCCTACTGGTCCTCTTACCGTTGGGGATTCCGTGATGAAGAATGATATGACCGCTGCGGGTGGTGGCCAGGAACCTTCTCTCCCAAAGATAACAGACTACTTTCCAAACGGTCTGATGAGTTGGCTGTTAAGGATTCTCTGGCTCTTAGTGTTCAGTGTGCAGGTTCTGTGTGTCTAATATGGCCCAACGCCTATTTGCTCGAACCCGCCAAGTTGAATCATTGGCGGCTGAAGTGATGAGTCTCAAACAGGAGATTAGAGGGCTCAAGCATGAGAATAAACAGTTGCACCGGCTCGCACATGACTATGCTACAAACATGAAGAGGAAGCTTGACCAGATGAAGGAATCTGATGGTCAGATTTTACTTGATCATCAGAGGTTTGTGGGTTTGTTCCAAAGGCATTTATTGCCTTCGTCTTCTGGGGCTGTACCGCGTAATGAAGCTCCAAATGATCAACCTCCGATGCCTCCTCCTTCTAGGGTTCTGTCCAGTACTGAGGCTCCGAATGATCCCCCCTCCGGTGCCTTCTCTTTCTGGGGCTCTACCGACTGCTGAGACTTCTCCTAAGCAACCTTTGTGAAGGCTCCCTCTTGTTTGTTTATTTTGACTCATGTATATGTACATATTTGTAACTTATCGGAGATATCAATAAATAAGCTTTGTTTTCATTTCAACGTATTGTGTTAAATACACCAAAGCCTTCTTCACTAAGTTCTTTGAATTTTCTTTTGTTGAAGCTTGTATGTTGAAGCTTTGTGAGTGGAGCATGTAGGTTGAGGTAGTGTTCCCTTAATTTCCCGAGTGAGGAAAACTTCTCGGTTGGAGACTTGAAAAATCCAAGTCACTGAGTGGGGTCGACTATATGAATCTTAGAACGCCATTGTGCTCGATCCTGTGTCATGTCCTCCGTTAGATCCAAGTACTCTAAGTCTTTTCTTAGAGTCTCTTCCAAAGTTTTCCTAGGTCTTCCTCTACCCCTTCGGCCCTGAACCTCTGTCCCATAGTCGCATCTTCTAATCGGAGCGTCAGTAGGCCTTCTTTGCACATGTCCAAACCACCGTAACCGATTTTCTCTCATCTTTCCTTCAATTTCGGCTACTCCTACTTTACCTCGGATATCCTCATTCCTAATCTTATCCTTTCTCGTGTGCCCACACATCCAACGAAGCATCCTCATCTCCGCTACACCCATTTTGTGTACGTGTTGATGCTTCACCGCCCAACATTCTGTGCCATACAGCATCGCCGGCCTTATTGCCGTCCTATAAAATTTTCCCTTGAGCTTCAGTGGCATACGGCGGTCACACAACACGCCGGATGCACTCTTCCACTTCATCCATCCAGCTTGTATTCTATGGTTGAGATCTCCATCTAATTCTCCGTTCTTTTGCAAGATAGATCCTAGGTAACGAAAACGGTCGCTCTTTGGTATTTCTTGATCTCCGATCCTCACCCCTAACTCGTTTTGGCCTCCATTTGCACTGAACTTGCACTCCATATATTCTGTCTTTGATCGGCTTAGGCGAAGACCTTTAGATTCCAACACTTCTCTCCAAAGGTTAAGCTTTGCATTTACCCCTTCCTGAGTTTCATCTATCAACACTATATCGTCTGCGAAAAGCATACACCAAGGAATATCATCTTGAATATGTCCTGTTAACTCATCCATTACCAACGCAAAAAGGTAAGGACTTAAGGATGAGCCTTGATGTAATCCTACAGTTATGGGGAAAGCTTTCGGTTTGTCCTTCATGAGTTCTTACGGCAGTCTTTGCTCCTTCATACATATCCTTTATAGCTTGGATATATGCTACTCGTACTCCTTTCTTCTCTAAAATCCTCCAAAGAATGTCTCTTGGGACCCTATCATACGCTTTTTCCAAATCTATAAAGACCATGTGTAAATCCTTTTTCCCATCTCTATATCTTTCCATCAATCTTCGTAAGAGATAGATTGCCTCCATGGTTGAGCGCCCTGGCATGAACCCGAATTGGTTGTCCGAAACCCGTGTCTCTTGCCTCAATCTATGCTCAATGACTCTCTCCCAGAGCTTCATTGTATGACTCATTAGCTTAATACCCCTATAGTTCATGCAATTTTGTACGTCGCCCTTATTCTTGTAGATAGGCACCAAAGTGCTCTTTCGCCACTCATTTGGCATCTTCTTCGTTTTCAAAATCCTATTGAAAAGGTCAGTGAGCCATGTTATACCTGTCTCTCCCAAAACTTTCCACACTTCGATCGGTATATATCGTCTGGGCCCACTGCTTTTCTATGCTTCATCTTCTTCAAAGCTACAACCACTTCTTCCTTCCTGGATTCGACGATAAAAAGGAGTAGTTTCTACACTCTTCTGAGTTACTCAACTCCCCTAAAGAAGTACTCCTTTCATGTCCTTCATTGAAAAGATTATGAAAAATAACCTCTCCATCTGTCTTTGAACCGCGTTCTCTGTAGCAAGAACCTTTCCATCCTCATCCTTGATGCACCTCACTTGGTTTAGGTCCCTTGTCTTCTTTTCCCTTGCTCTAGCTAGTTTATAGATATCCAACTCTCCTTCTTTGGTATCTAGTCGCTTATACATATCGTCATAAGCCGCTAACTTAGCTTCTCTCACAGCTTTCTTCGCCTCTTGCTTCGCTCTTTCTATACCTTTCACCATTTTCATCAGGTCCTATCCTTGTATAAGGCTTTACAACATTCCTTCTTAGCCTTCACCTTTGTTTGTACCTCCTCATTCCACCACCAAGATTCCTTTTGGTGTGGAGCAAAGCCCTTGGACTCTCCTAATACCTCTTTTGCTACTTTTCGGATACAACTAGCCATGGAATCCCACCTTTGGCTAGCTTCCCCCTCTCTATCCCACACACACTGGGTGATTACTTTCTCTTTGAAAATGACTTGTTTTTCTCCTTTTAGATTCCACCATCTAGTCCTTGGGCACTTCCAAGTCTTGTTCTTTTTTCTCACTCTTTTGATATGTACATCCATCACCAACAAGCGATGTTGATTAGCCAAGCTCTCCCCCGGTATAACTTTGCAATCCTTACAAGTTATACGATCCCCTTTCCTCATTAGAAGAAAATCTATTTGTGTTTTTGACGACCCACTCTTGTAGGTGATCACATGTTCTTCTCTCTTCTTAAAGAAGGTGTTGGCTAAGAAGAGATCATATGCCATTGCAAAATCCAAGATAGCTTCCCCATCCTCGTTTCTCTCCCCAAAACCATGGCCACCATGAAAACCTCCATAGTTGCCTGTCTCCCTGCCCACATGTCCATTTAAATCTCATCCTATAAATAACTTCTTCGTCTGAGCAATTCCTTGCACCAAGTCTCCAAGGTCTTCCCAAAATTTCTCCTTCAAACTCGTATCCAACCCTACTTGAGGTGCGTACGCACTAATCACATTGATGAGTTCTTGTCCTATTACAATCTTGATTGCCATGATTCTATCTCCTACCCTCTTGACATCTACAACATCTTGTGTCAAGGTCTTGTCCACAATGATGCCAACACCGTTTCTCGTTCTATTTGTGCCCGAATACCAAAGCTTAAACCCTGAGTTTTCTAGATCCTTTGCCTTAAGACCAACCCACTTAGTTTCTTGTAGGCACATAATATTTATCCTTCTCCTCACCATAACTTCCACTACTTCCATAGATTTTCCCGTTAAGGTTCCTATATTCCACGTTCCTAAACGCATTCTACTCTCTTGAACTCTACCCTTTTGTCCTAGCTTCTTCACCATCCCCCGTCTAATAGGATCAAAGTATTTCTTTTGTGTGTCCTGTGTAAAGTTGATAGGAGCATATGCTCCCAAACAACTTTGAGTGGAGTCGTTTGAAAAGAAGTTTCTATGGCCCCCTTGCTCATTTAACACTGCATCCGGGTGCCGATGGAGATACAGCGACCCTTACTCACTTATCACTGTGCTCGGGCCACACAGCGCGCCACTTATGGGTGACGTCCTAGCTTTAGCGCGATTTCGTTCTGGATTCATTGTCATAAGGATTCGACGTAACTGTGGAGTGCCGGCTGTAGACTACCTGACGCCCTCCCCCTCCTCCTTTATCCGGGCTTGGGACCGGTAATGTAAGATAAACTTACACAGACGGAGTTCTCCAATGTCAATGACAAATAAAAAAAATTTCAACTTCAATTTGGGAATTTGAAAAATGATTTCAACAGAAATGATCTCTTGGTCCAAGCGATTTTCGTCGACAAAATACAAGCTGTTCAATCAAGTTCCAAAGCTTCTTATGAATCATTGGCTGAATTTGAGGAGGTAGATACTACAGCTCAGACTTTCAGCTCTGTTGTTACAACATCGTCTACAGAAAGTTTAATTCCAAAGGGTCTTTTCAGCTCTGAGAGTAGAAAAAAACCAAAGAGGTAAGAGTTTTCACTGTAACTATCTCATTTGTATCTATATTTTCAAATAACCTGATATTTACTAATGTATTAATCTCTCTTTTGTTTATATGGATTTAAGGGAAACTGAAATTACTGAAGAAATAGATGAACAAAACGCTTCGGGCACCGAAGATTTTCCCATCAAATCCCTCAGGAACAAAATGTCTCCAAACAAAACTGAAATAGTATCTACTACTTCCAAAACCCGGTACGTTACATCTATTTGTTATTAATGCTTTAACTATTAGTTAGGTCCCATAGGTACTGCTTTACTTTGTGGTTAGGACTATGGGGATGAAATTTTGCTATTTGGTTCCCAACTTGGTGGACACATGAGGAAAAGCTCAAATGCTTAAGTTTATGTTTGTGTAGAGTTGAACCTGGATAGGCAGAATTTGTTAATTCTCCTTTCTGTCTATTTATCTACTCATTTTTTGGACAGTGGCTTACATCGTTGTTGGTTAATTTTCTTTTTTATCATATTTCTGATACAAAGAATATAATTTCAATCTACAGCAAGAACAAGTGCAAAGATGACTGAAGTTCTCTGAACAATACAGAACAAATGGAAGTTTTTTTTTATGAGCCCAAGGACAAAGAAGCAACATGAAAACTAGAACCATGTGGACAATTTTTGAAACTGTATATATTTGGGACTTGCAAGTCCATCCTGTTAGTCGTTCAGATCTGTTTTTTTTTTATGTACATAGAACTTTTAACATAGAGTTAGTAAAATACAGGTGCAAAATGAACGGCTAATCAAAGTGGGAGACTTTTGGAAGTGTATATGAATGTAAAACTTAGAAATCTCCCCATTGGATTGTAAATATGCTTTTGATGTAAAATAAATAGAATCTTCTATAACTGAAAACCCTATTTGACCCTGTTTGTTTAGTTGTTCTATTAATTTATAAAATGTTTAGGAATGAATGTGTTGCAAAATCAAGTGTAACTTTGCCTCAAATATGCATAAAATTATTATTGATACCTATGGTAAATTTTGGATTAAGCTTTTATACTTATGCACCACCTATTCTTGCTGAAGACCTACCATAAGTACGGGTCCACCTATCCAGCATGTAAGCACTTCCACTAACCTTAGATATCAATTAAATAGCCATCAGTCTCAAATTCATATGAAAAACTCATCATACGAATTGTATATTGCTGGTACTTATTATTAGAAGGTGAATCATAGACACTAAAAGCCATGGTATCTTATGGGACATTTTGTTATTAAATTGTGACTACGTATTCATAACCCGTAGCAGAACACGGGCAATTTTCCTAGTTATATACTTATTTTCCTCCCTCATCTTTTACGCACCAGTAAGATCAATTTGAAGAGAGAGACTTGTTTTATATACTAGAATTGGTCCAAGCTAATTATTATCTTTCTATCAACTTATATTTATTATTGTTGGAGTTTTGAGACTCCTTGTCCCACATCGGGGAACATAGGATTCCCAAGGACATTTACATATGTTTTGTCTTCTACAATAGTAGTTAGGATTTGGACCATTTGGAAATGAATTGAAGGCTTGTATAATTTTAATTTCGGATTAATTTTTAATTAACTTATTAATTAAAAAACATTTTGATTAAGAGACAGCTCTTAGAAGAGTTGTATATTTTCAAATATGCTAAACAGGTATTTGAAAAGGTGTGAAACAACCTATATAATTGCAATCACAGTTTCCAAGTAGAATCATCTTTTCTTCCTCCTCTTCTGTACAAACTTTCCAGAGAGTAAACACACAAAGCAAATTCGCTAGAATTCTATAATCCAGTGCGGGTTGTAGAATTAGGTAGTTGTATCCTGGTCGAGCAGTGTTGTAGAACCACAAGCACAAGAGTGGGACGGAAATACTGTTTGAAGGACATAGTTTTTGCGCTAGCTTCTACCTGTGGTTAATCAAGTTAGTACCATTTTAATTCTTGTATTTATTTATGTATTTCATTCTGTATAGCAAGTATTTTTGGTTAATAAAGTATTAGAATTTCAAGTTCTGTTATTTCTGTTATTTTTATTTATTTCTGAATTGTTCTCCAACAATTTTTATATATCTATATATAAGTATGTTTGTACTTGGACAAAACCACGCTAATTTCCCAAGTTATTTAAGTAGGAATAGAGTTGTGGCTACGTATTTGGTTATTTGCTTATACTTGTGAAATAGGAATTGGCCACGGTGGTGGATTCTTGTGTTAATAACTCGGAGCAATGTTTTGGAATCTAGGTAGGGGAAATACGGCAGACCTTTACGGAGATTGATTATATTCAATTTCGTGGAGCGGTATATTATTATTCATCTCATTGGTTTATTAATATAAATTGATGCTAATTAGATAGATGCTTCTTTTAGGTGTACTTGTGAAATGCTATTCGTTGAAAATATACTGTGATACATGTGAAACATGAAATGACATTATTTGTGCATCATTCATGTTGTGAGATGTGGTTGGAACTTCAGTGTTGAGATTGGAAATATGGAAATGAGGGTAGCTAGAAACGATCTTTTGTGTAGTTGGTTCAAACTCTTAGTAGGTACCAAGTATCAGGCGAGCACATAGTTAACAATTTCTTTTAGAGAAATTCGGGATTGGCGACGAAGCATTTTGGCAAGACGACTAACAAAAGGGAAAACTAGGATGATTGAGTTACCAGGGTTAGTTTGTATAATTAGTCACTCGAGACCAAGTGATATAAGTACGGAATGGGACGTACGAGGTCTGGGTATTTAGTTATACGGATTAATGGGTATAGATGAAGAATCTGCATTGCACTCTGCATTCTTATTTGATTATATGATTTTATGACACTTAGTTTAGTTTGGTCAATTTATTGTGGTAAGGTTATGTCTCTATTGAGCTGTTGAAGCACCCCTCTATTGTTATGCAGGTTTACGAACTAGACATTCAAAAGGGTAACTAGGATGTGATTGGATTAGATGTGAGAATAGAAAATTTATTCATCTATATATTGTAAAATTTTAAAAAATTCCAGATTTGTTTAAGAATCATAAGTTATTTTTATAAGAGGAATTTATTTTCCATCCCGTTTCAGCTTCTTTATATTTATTTAATTTTTTTAGCTCGCGTTCTAGATTTGGGTCAAAATTTTCCACCGACCACGAGTCCGGGGCATGACATTACATGAAGGTGCACATTTGAATCCAAAACGTTTTCACATCAGCATTAGAGGTCACCTAACATTTATGAAGACCAAATGGTACGTATTCCAGCTTAGTCTGAAAGGCATGCTCTTTCGATAACAATCCATCTTTAAGAGGAATAGGTTACCTCTCACATAGATACTTAGGGGCAATTGTCGAACCATGATTTTTCAAGGTCATAGTAAGGTTGATCTGAATGTTGCTACCTCAGAAATCCGGTCATGGACTCATCAATTCCGGACGGAGCTGTATCAGACAGAGCAGGGTTCCACCATCACTCTTCTTTAGGGCACCAGACAGAGTCTTGGCGACTCCGACAAATGACCATGCTTGTTTCGCAAGACACGCGATCTGATTCAGATATTGACACAGTCAGATCCTATAAGTCTTAGAGTCCCTACAATCTAGGGATAGGCATTCACTGTAAGTAATCATAACTACAAAGGGGATGCAACACCCCTCCCCCTCTGGGTCCTAGGCATGCTCACGGTTGTTTACTATTTTGGAAGTTGCTTGAGTTTATGTTCAGCCATAATTCATGGAGGTGCGTGAATTTGGTTCCAACACATTATGTGAAAAGTCACCAGTGGGTTATATTCCCTTTGTTGGTGATGTCAAGAATCCCTATCTTTTTAGCAACATTCTTCAAAAGGATGTAACTCTTGAGCTGATGTCAACAAAGACGCAGCTCACCAAGGTGTTGAAGATTTGAGCCTTAACGACGAGGGCGTCATCGTGAGATAACTCTTCAAAGGTTAGATTGATCGCTTCTGTCTTTTAGGTAACCACCAATTCTTCGAAACGAGAAACGAATTCTTTAAGATCTTTGATGCATGCCTTTATGAGGTCTTCCCACATATTGTCTATATTGGTAACACCATCGTGCTTCTGGTGGACATTACCCTAGGAGGCAGTAAGGTCGTCGTTGTTAACTGAGCTTTCTGACATGTTAGTTGGCAGAACAGTCTGGTCGAGAAGAATAAGAGTTCACTCCTAATGAAAACACCAATTGTTGCAACCAAGATCGCACACTGCCATGAGTGGTGATTGAGCACAAATCTAAGCAACCTATAAAATAGAAAACAACCGTGAAGACGACTAAGACTGGGGGTGCTAGGGGGGAGAAGGTGTGTGTTGGCCAAAGGCTATCCGACACTCAAGTTAGTGAATGATTTTAGACTGAAGCAGTGGGCAAGAGAATTGAAGTGTTGCAGTTGCATTACCATAAATGAACCCTAGATGAGTGTATTTATACCATGGAGAGAGACATTTTTAAGATAGAATCTTGGTTCTAAGCCAAGAGAATCCTAAAGGATATCTAGAAGTAAATATTGCATTCTCTTATGAGTTATGGTTACTTGCGGCGCACGTCAATTCCAAGATTGTAAAAACTCCAAGACTTATAGGATATGATTGTGTTCATATCCGGATCAAATCACGTGTCTTGCGAAATAAGCATGGTTATCTAGCGGAGTCGCTAAGACTCCACCTAGTGCCTTGAAGCAGTGTGATGGTGACACCGCTACTCCATCTGATACAGCTCTGCTCGAAGTTGGTGAGTCCATGACCGAACTTCTAAGGTAACTATATTTGGATCAGTATTACTCTGAGACTAAAAAATCATGGTCCCACAAATAATCAATTAAGTTAAATAAATAAATATTAAGATTAAAAGGTGGCTGAATTTTTCAAAGCTTTAGCAAAGGTGTCCAATAATACATGCACATACTATACCCATTTCTTTTTTATGAATTACGGTTAGGGGCTAAAAGGCTATAAGTATTCTTTGTCGTGTAAATTTTCTAGCAGCCTAGATTTAACGTATAAATGTTAGTCCTCCTACGCTAGAAGGTTAACTGGATTATGTTAAATAAGTAAAAGCTTATTAGGTTTTTAAGAAGGGAATTCTGAAGGAAGGGGAAAAAAAAAAGGAAACATAAGGAAATTGTTATTTTTACGATGAAGAAAATATTTGTCTTACACTTTCAAATAAAATAACATTACAAAATGTGGAAAGGGTTGTAAATATTGGTAGATGAATGAATGCCCACACAGTAATGTCGACTTGGGAAAAGAATGATGATTGTATTTGTGTAATACTTTCAAAAAGTGTGTGCTATGTTTTTCAAGATGTAATTATTATGTTTGTTTGGAGTTGCTCTATAAATAGAGCATTCCGTTTGCTATCAAAATACACTGCAAATATCAATAACATCATCATCTCTCCCTCCCTCCCTCTTTTATCTATCATCCTTTTGTGTTATAGCTACTAAAGTTATAGTGTGATATTTTGCACCCGCTTCACTCCTATCCCTAGCAAAGGTTATTTCTCTAAGTTTTGCCTATTTATTACACGTTATCAGCACGACTCTCTAACCAGTTCTCATCTCACTTCACCGAAAAGAAAAAAAAAATGTTTCCTCCATGGATTTTCCTCTTCTTCTTCTTCTTGTGCCTCACCTGCATGATGTACCCTCGTGATGAACTGCTAGCACCATGCCTATTTCTCATTCTCAATTTACTTATACCTTTGATTTCTTGTTTGGTGTAGTTCCTTATTACTAACCTAGTGTTTATTTATGTTAATTTTACTACAATCAAAGATGGTGCGGTACAATTGACTATCTTGAACTGCAAATCTAATCTTACTGCAATCCAAGATGGTGCGGTGTCATCGCCTATCTTGAGCTGCATATTTAATTTTTTTGCAATT